AATTCTTTATTGTCCCAGCAATTTTCAGGGAAAACAGCCTACCAGCTTAGACTCCACCGTCTTTGTGGTTCATAACTCAGAACAATCCATGCCCTGTCACAGTACACTGAGTATTTACAACAGACTCAGCAGAGATCACAGCAAAGGCAGACTATGTCACTTATGCGTTCTAAGAGCATATGCACAACCACATGGGAGACAACCAGCCTCCCCTTCATATATATTCTTTTTTTATTTTCTTATTTATACCTTCCCCAAACAGAGACATTCAACAGTAGTTAGAATGGCCATCTCCCAACATTTTAAAAAGCTGCATCACCCAGTGGGTGAACAAAGAAAAGAGTGGCAACCTAGAGTTCAGCCAAGTCAGCCACTGTGGAGCCTTTAGTGGTGAGGTCTTCCAACTTCAAAGTGATGTGTCTTCAACATATACCATCATTTTAGTGGAAAAACATAATTAATTTTGGTGAAATGAGATTCACTTCCAGACAGGATTAGTAACAGCATTCACTGAGCTTCTGCTCTTCTTGGTGAACTGTGAGGAAAATGAAAGGTAGCTAGAAGATCAGTGGGATTCCAGCTCCAGCTGCGGAAGGACAAAACACCGGAAACAAAAACATTTCTGCTCTGATTCACAAAGCTGACAGCAGTTTCCAACCTGCAACTTAGTTACAGACCAATGACACACCTTTTCAAATGGCAAAAATACAAAAAAGTGTTACAAAAATATTTCAGAAAAAGTGCATAGTCTAAGTGCATAGTAAATAAAAGCACTGAAAAATATCTCGCTAGAGAGGGAGCTCAGCCTGGAAATTTATAGCCAAAGCTGAACAGTTTTATCTTACACAAACTATACTCAAAAATAGCTTTATGAGACTGATTTCTGGCTAAAAGTATCAAAGGGTTTATTAGTCAAGAAACAAACACCTTAACTGACAAGCATGGTTAGAAAAGAAACAGAAGCTGCCACCCACCAGTCCCAACTCACTAAGCCTTCCTTTAGCTTTATGGTACGAATACATCTCTTCATAACAGAATATGGCAATCATGGAATTAGTTATTGCTGTTCAAATAAAAAAACCACAACAAATCAATCCCAATAATCTTCTCAAACACGTGTCAATTTACAATTCAGAGTATTTTACACAATAGGCTCCTGGCAGCATTTTCAGACAAATGAACTTTTAATTTATCCTGACATGCTGTAATGAATAAATTACACCATTTGAAAAATTATGGTCAATAAGTTTCCCCTTCATTTGGATCAAAGGGAAAAAGGAAAGCGGCCAAAAGAGACCATGAGGAAGCGTGCACAGGTACCTACAGAGAAGCAGGGCTAGAGGGTCAAGATCACTAACTTCACACTGTGTTGATACTCTTAGAGCCATTTCACAAGGATTTTTAAGAAAAATATCTTGTAATATAGTTATTAAACCCTTAACACTTTCACTCATATTCAAAATCAGTCCATCTGCTTGCTAGTCAGTGGCCACAGGAGTCAATGCCAAAGTTATGGCAGCTGCAGTACTGGGTATTGTGTCTGTGAGTCATTGGAAGAAAACGGAAAGGATGCTCTTCTCTTTAAGACAAAAAAAAAAAATGTTTCGCAGCAGAGGAATATAACGATGACTTGCAGTAATCTATAAAAAAAAAATTAGGGAAAGCTGGGCATGGTGGCTCGTGTTTTTAGTCCCAGGACTCTAGGGAGGCAGAGAGGGAATAAGATCTCTGAGAGTTTAGGGCCAGCCTGGTCTATATAGTGATTCCAGGCTAGCCAGAGCCACAAAATGAGACCCTGTCTCAAAACATAAAACAAAAAATTGAGATATACTTCATGTTGAGTCAGCAAGGCATTTTGTTTAAAAAAATTTCACTTCCTTACAGAAACAGTTTTTAGTTTTTAATGAACTTGTAAACAAAAAGCTCCCATTTCAAAATAAAAACCAAATCCCAGATCATACAGATGTTTACAGTGATTACATTTATCTAAGCACACACATACATGTTCAGTTGTAAGACAGTAACTAAATTTGTGACAAATATGCTTTTATAGTAGCAAGAACATTATAGAGTTAATGCAGAGTCCTAAGGATAATCTAGTAGTCGCTATGTTTTTTTTCTTAAGTCTTCACTTTAGATGCTGTTATTTCTAGCACAGGTAAGCAGGCAGAGTCTTTCAAATGCTCAAACACTGGAATCTTTGGTTGCTACCATATCAGCTGGCTTGCAAACAAGAAGCCAGCCTTTTAAAGAATGTTTTAAGTTAACAACTTGCAAACCCCAGGGATGGAAAGCCCTAAGAACACACAATTGTGAACATTCACAACCATCACAACTGTGGCTGAAGACTGTTCATGCCGTTCTTCTGAAAAGAGATCTCAAAAGCAGTATAGTTCAAAATAAAAGGTTTTAAACAAAAAAATTGGCATATGCACAATTTCTCCACCAATTCGTGTGTCAACCATTTAGTTAACTTTTCCACTTGAAAAAAAAATGCAATAGAAAACCGGACACCATGTTTCACTACCTCAGTTAATATTCACAATTACAGCGGCTACAGCTCAGGGTCAGCACCAGCAATGCTGCCCAGGGCCAGTTTATACTGAAATTAAGTTCTTTACACCAAGTAAATGGTTGTCCACAACCACTGGCTAGTGTACATATGAACTAAAAGTCTAGTTTGGGGAGAAACAAATGCTGCTCCAATCATCTGCTCTGCTGCTTCTCTTCCTCAATTCATGCCTAGAAACCTATTAAAAAACAAAACAGAAAAAGGTTGTTACAAGTTTTAAATTTTTACAAACTCCCTAAATTAGAGAACTAGGACAATAATCACATTTTAGTGGCTGTTCTTAACGTGAAAATCATCAAACCTGACCTTTCAAAATAGAGTACACAACTTTCTAATTAAAGCCATTTCCCGCTGATTTGAATGACCCAGGAAGAAATCTATAGTCAGTTACAGCCTCAGCATCCAACTTTCAGCTATAGTAGTGAATGGCTAGCTATCCAAGAGGATGTCCACTTCTTTGGGACCCAGAACACAAGCTATTTCAGAAACTCAACTGAAATGAGAAACTGGTGACATTACTGCAACAACTAGAGGATGGTTCTAACTAGATCAGAAGCCAACTTTTGTGTATACCATTTCTGGCAGAATTTTCACAACAGTAACAGTTATTCCACTTTTTAAAGCACAACTTTACTTTGTTATACCTCTAAGAAATATGTAATCTGCATACAAAAACTTTACACTGATCTTCATACTTGTTTAACTTCCACTGTTGCATTAAAAAGAAGTGTCCCTGGGCACATGCCTTTAATCCCAGCACTCGGGAGGCAGACCCAGGCATAATCTCTGTGAGTTTGAGGCCAGCCTGATCTACAAGAACTAGTTCCAGGACAGGCTCCAAAGCTAGAGAAACCCTGTCTCAAAAAACCAAACCAACCAAGCCCCCCCCCCCCCCCCAACCCCGACTCTATTCACTGACTTGTGAACTAGAAATAAGCAATGCAATGCTTTGGCACTGTTTACTTCCTGTCCTATCTTGTTGTACAGTTCCTTCTCCCATAAGCCAGGGCTTCTGCATTAAGGATGCTGGTTCTAAACGGTTCTTTATGGCTAGAGACAGAATAAACACGCCCACCTATTGATACCCTTAATAACCTGGATATCAAATAATAAGAGCCATTTTGTCTATTCCCTTCTAATCCCCCAGATGACTGAATTACATTTCTGACTATTTAACTTCAACAAAAATCAAAACCAAGCCTACCACATCACAGAAAAACCATGCTTTGGCCAGTATGTATTTCTTCCCCAGCCCACCCGCCAACACTGGTGGGACTTCCTTTGGGTTTGGTGAGATTTAGAATCTAACCCTACTACTTCTTATTACAGATGTTTTTAAGACTAAAACTGGAAAGTCAGTATCAAACATTTATAATCATCATTTTTTTTAATAAGCATTCCTTCACCAGTTAACTAGGAACTTTTCATTGGGAGGAAAACCAGACATCCTCACGTATTTGGTAAATACAATTAAGCTTTGAAGGCAATGATGTGCTTTACTCCTCCTTCCCATTGTCAACCAGGAGCAGCTACTTAACAAACCCAATTCCATCATCCTAAGAGCATAGAAAACAAACACTAAGATTATGAAATAGCACCAGCAAACTTAAAACCAAAAAATCCGTTGTGCACATGCACTCTTGTGTGTGTGTATATATACTTGAGTGTAGGCACACTTGTATTCAGGCTAGAGGTTGAAATTCGGGTGGTATCTTTCCCGATGGTTCATCACCTTGAATATACCGATGCAGGACCTTTTGCTGAACCTGGAGCTCACAATCGGGCCAGCTTTCTTTGGGGACGCTGTCTCTTACTTCCAGGTGTTGGGATTCCAAGTAGACAACCATATCTACCCAACTTAAGAGTTTTGGAGGAGCTGAAGGCTGGTCCTCATATTCTGTGCTAAGTGCTTTATCTATTGGGCCACCTCCCCAGGCACAGTAAGGCCTACTTTAAAAGGCTACTAAACCAAACCCTAATTCATCTGTAAACTGACCAGACCGCAATCTAATTCCAATTCATGGAGTAATTAATAAGTTAAAAATTTAAAATCTAGATAGAAACTATGGACTAGCTAAATACAAAGGATCTTTATCCCCATCAGTATTTGGCTTTAACTATGAAAGTTATTCATAAATTGTAAAAATGACTTTCCTGGCTACAAAAACTATGGCTCCTCTCCTTTATAATAATTTGCTGTAATCATGTGATTATATTTTAGTATTTCGTTACACTCAGTATCCCTCTACACGATCAGGTATGAAGTGGAAAACCAGCCACTAACAAACTATAAGCCAAATATAAAACAACTTAGTTTTTAATAACAGGGAAGTTCTAGGTCAAAAGTCTTTGTGGAACAGTTAGTTCAGTCTCTGGTTACAACTGTTTAGGGCTTGGTTGAAGATTAGCCTAACAATATTCCTGGTAGAATAAAGTAGTCAAATCCAGTTTGAGTTCTTCAGCTAGACAGGTCAATGGTAGGATGTTCTTTCTACCCAGGTGACATCCCTCAAATGAGCGGTTCTTGGATGGTAATCAAGAAGGAAAAACACAATAGCAGGCCTCCAACATTCAGTCTTCAACCACCACTAAGCACAGTCTCTTCCACTGTGCTTTGGTTTTTGTTTTAAAAATCTTGCAGCCTGGGTAGCACTTGTGGATCCAGAGTAAATCTTCACTGACATCAGTTAAAATGAGGAATGAACCTCTTCTTTTCCTAAAAGAGAGGGAGAGTGAAGACTATTACCAAAGTTGCAGGGTTAGTGTGACTACCCAGGAATTAAGCTACTCTTTAAACAGGAAAAAAGTGCTTATTTTATCTAACAATCATACTTTACCCCCTCAAAAAGTAATCTACAAGAAATGTATCTTTATTAAGGAATTCACTGCCAACATGTCTAATAAAAAAAATAGCCAGAATCCATTTTAAACAGGTATAGTTATGTTTTGAGACAGGTTCCTCCTGTCTCTACATACGTCTGTGTTAATGAGATTATAATTAAGGTCTACCATCCAGTTAAAGGATGTTCATACAGTAATAAAGTTTATATATTTGTGGTGGGTGTTTGAAATTTAGACTCCTTCCACAGTATAATAAGAACGAAACCATTTATTATCATCATTTATAATCAACATACATAACCATTTATAATCAACATACAATGTCATTTGTATTAAGTAACTTTTTCTACAATATTCTCCTAGGGTCTTCTGGTTATACAAGATTAAGCTAGGTGAATTAAGCTGCCAGTATGTACGAAACTAACAAATTCTGCTCTACAAAATGAACACTGAAAGATGAAAGTATTTTTGATTGCACACCGGCAATTTATGTGACAGGTTCAATTCCTCCTTAAATTGGACCAGCAGACTAAAAACAATCTGAATGACTGTCTTCTCTACCCAGATTCATTTTCTAATAGTTTCCATAGTCGCTAAGCTGAACATACCTGTTACAAAGGAATTTGTCCCAACTGGCAGATGGTGGGCATTACACAGCGCTCTCCCAGGCCTTCTGACAGCCATCACAGAACCTGAGCTGAGAGTTAACAGGCCCAGGGAGCCTTGAAGGTCTCTTGCACTTTCTTCATTTCTTTTGTCGCTCTCTTCAGTTTTACTGTCCACAATGAGAAAAGCTGACGAAAATCCCAGGTTTCAGCAAAGATTCAGTTCCCAGGTCTTCTTTGGACTGAGTGTATTGAGGGTAAGTCAGTTTCTCCAGGCATCGCTAGGTCTTCCCTTTCCTGTTTTGGGTTAAGTTGCTGAATTATCAGCTGTGTTCCTGGCAGCAGTTGGTGAAGTCAGAAAATGTTAAACTACACATGGTAAAGCCCTTTAGGCTTCTAGGGATCACTGACAGAGGTAGGTTAGTGTGAGAGAAAACACTTAAGTCTTAGAAGGTCAAGGCCACTCTCAAACTTGTTCTACTGCATCAGCTACTTGTGGGTTATCAGAACTAACTGAATTATTTAAATGTTCATAAAATATGTCTCTTCTAGGTCATAAACAAGTACCTTTCTGACAATCATCAACAGTAGAAGAACACTTATTAAATGATTGTCAAATGTTCAGAGGGAGAAGTTTTTCATCTTTTCTTTACTATACAAAGAGAAGCAAAAAATTCAATCTTAGGGGCACTTCAGCACTATAAGAAAAAGCCTAAGAGACATTAGGGGAAATCCTTTCTCTTGGTCTTGATTGGCTTTGGAATGCAGTAACTGAAAGGCCTAATGCAAAGTTATCAGAGCAGAGAATCCACCTATGATATAAGAAGCATACACTAGCTAAATGAGCACACACACACACATATATATATATTACACACACATATATATATAATATATATTTTACATATTTTGAGACAGGGTTTCTCTGTAGCTTTGGAGTCTGTCCTGGAACTAGCTCTTGTAGACCACGCTGGCCTCGAACTCACAGAGATTCACTCTGCCTCCAAAGTGCTGGGATTAAAGGTGTGCGCCCAGCATGATCAAGATTTTTAAGAACACTTAAACACTCTAAGTGGCTAGAAATTTCTGTAATATCTATGAAAGAAACATACGCTTAAAAAAATAACTGCCGAGTAGTCAAAAAAACAGAAACCCTCACAAAACCCTAAAGAACTTATAAAAAATAATGCCAACATTTAGAAGATCTTTCCAGAAGAGAACTTTTAGAGGCCTGATTGCTAAAGATTTATGAACTGAATTCATTGATATATACAAGCATATGAGATTATCATCAAAAGGGGAGGAAGCTGTATGTCTTAAGGGGTATCTTTTACTCATTTTATTTTGGTCTTTGAGAGTCTCACTATATAGCCCGAGTGATCCTCAACCAGATCCATCCTTCTACTCCCAAGTCTCGGATTAAAGGTTATGAGTCACCACCTGCTATAATTTTTTGTTTCATTTTGTATTTTTCAAGACAGAGTTTCTCTGTGTAACAGTTCTAGCTGTCCTAGAACTCACTGAGCTCCACCTGCCTTTGCCTCCTAAGTGCTGGGACTACAGGTAGTACCACCACTGCCTGGCTACTTTCTATAATTTTTGAGCTGAGAAATAATATGATGATACCATTATTGGAAGATTCCATGAGATCAAAAGCTAAAGTAGCAGAAACTAAGTATTGTTTTATACATCCTATTTTGGAACTACCTATATAATGTGAGTAGCAGAGGGTCTAAGACTAATTTTCTCATGCTTATTTCATACCACTCTTAGGGCATGTGCATTTTTCTTAGCTTTCTGTATGAACACTAAATTCACGAATGTTAAGGAGTCGAAAGTCCACCTCTTTTACTGAATATTCTGGGTAGTGGCACAGCTTGTTGTACATCTCTGTGCGGGGTCATGGTCAGGAGTCAAGTCTGGTGGTGGTCCCTCTGATGTCTTTTATTTTTTGGAGTTGGGGTCTTCCACTAGGTCAGAGCTTATTGATTAGGCTTTATAGGTAGGGCCAGCCAGAAAGTCCCAAGGTTTTGCCTGTCTCCACCCTGCTAGCCGGAGCTGGACGGATAAGCAAACCTCGTAACAGCTTGCTAGCTTTGTTGCTGAGACAGGGTCTCCGGTCTCACCATTTTGAGGTTGGCCTCAAACTCACAGAAATCTGCTTGCTCTATGCCAAGTGCTGGGATTTAGGGTGTGTGTGCCAAACACTTCCCAGTCCTTGCTGGCTTTTAAAATGGAGGTTCTAGAAACCTGAACTCAGGTCCACATTCATACAAAGCAAGCACTTTCCAACTTAGCTAACTTTCTAGCCCCAGACTGACGTATTTTAGTGGCGAGCAGTATTTTGCTCAAGGTAAAAAATAAAAATAAAACAAACCCCCAAAAAACAACAAAAACCCTCTTAGTAACCCATCCCCCCCACCTTTGAGAAGGAACACTGGTCATTAACTTAAGCAATCCTCATCTCAACCTCCCAGTAGCTAAGACTATAAGCATTCATGTCACTGAACCTCGTCTTAGAAATGTACCTTCTGAAAGCAGTCATTAAGGTATTTACTGAAAATTTCATATTTCAGAACACTGTAGGTTCATGTACATGTCATAATTTGCACGACCACTGTGTCTATTGATGTTGTAACTGTTTTATGATTTAAGTTACTTTTATGAAAAAGTTACGATACAGAAGGCAGCTTAAACTTAAGTTTAATCACTTTTCTTTTCCAAGGAAACATACTAACTCAGTGGATCCAACTTCTCGTCTTTAATACCTGGATAAAGCAGGACAAAAATTCTGCTTTTATATTGAGTAAGAAACACATAGGAAATTAGAACAATTAAACTAGGTCAAAATGAAAATACTTCTTTCTGAAGGCTGCTGAATGCCTGAAGAAAAATGTTCTAGGCCAGATGAGATTTCAATTTCAGTTCTAGAAGCTACAATTTGTGATGGATCCTATTATCCCAGCCAGCTTTCGGCAATAAATAAATAAAAGGCTTCATTTCATGAAAAAGGCAAACATAGGCATTGCTTAGTATCTTAGTTAAGAGACTCTCCACTTCTCACAAATACTTGCCACCTACTTCAACGGAAGATTACTTACACAGTATTAAGAGACAAAGGAGGCATCCAAGTCCCAACTAAAGTACAGAGGCTAAAAACACCCTGAGCAACCGCTTAGCTCAGGCCTCATCATCGAAACCCCTCCTCTGCCAAATGTTCAACTCAATCCTTCCCAAATACAGAAACACAGAAAGGAAGCCCCTCAACTTTACTGAGCTGCTGGGACAAGGATGGACATCAGTTCATTCCATTTCTTCAAATGTTCCTCAGATACTAAAAGCTGTTCTTAAAGTCAGGGTCTTATGTAGCTCTGGATGCCCTGAAATTCACTCTGTAGACCAGGCAGGCCTCGAACTCACAGAGATCCACCTGCCTCTGCCTCCCAAATGCTTGGATTAAAGCATTTGCAACCACACCCAGCCTAAAATCTATTTTCAAGTTTAAAAAAATTATTTAAATGCAACACTAAAAATACAGAATATTACTAATATTAACAAATACTAATATTTGAAAACCACATTCAGACTAGAGCAGTCTTTCAGAAATAAAGTAACAAGAAACCAAAAACCAAAGCTTACCTACCCACCACGTGCACAAAGCAGGCAGGCATCAATAGGTAAGCCCCAGAAGGGGAGACAACATTGAAGCAGGAGTTGAACTCTAAGGCACCGGGATTAGGAAGTGAGGGTGTGCTCTGACAGTTCTACTCCTTAGAAGCACTCAAAGTGCCAGAAAGAGACAGACAGACTAGCAGTTTAATGGCATTTGCCTCAGTTATCTTCAATTGGCAAGGTCTAACTGCAGGCTTCAATTTCACACTGAATGAACCCTAGTACCTAAAGTTCCTTCGCATTTCAATAAAGCACTCCTTTAAAGGATCATCATGAAATTAAGATCTGCCATAGTTCATTAGCAGAGAGAGAATTTCTGATTTAGGAAGATATGCGGAGCTTTGCAGTTAACAAGGTGCTCTGCAATTGAGAAGACAGACATGCTGAAGGCAATGCCAAGACTCACCTCTTAAAATCAGATCATGTTCACATTTTCCCATTAAATGCTAAAGCATTAGCATGCAAACAAACAATGTATAAATATCTTAACACTGTTAGTCTGAAAGTAAGTCAAAATACCATGGCTAACCAGATTCTGTATTAAAAATCAACAAGTGTTAGGTCTAGGATTTTGGATTGATTGGCAATACCATATTCCCAACACCGAATGTTTATTTTGGAAAAGGGTTAATGAATGAGTAAAAAAGATGCAGTTGTTAAAAATGACCCAAAATCCCAAGAGAAATGATATAAATACACACATATATGTATATACAAATACATATACATATATATGAATAAGGACATTTGGGTTTAAAGTTAGTAGTCAAATTTTCCAAGGACGTCTTTTTTTTTTAATACAAGCCAAATTTTATGTGTTTTAAAACCACCTCCTTGATCTAACACTGTTAGAAATGAATGAATTACCCAATTTGTATTTAATTTTTTCCCTGTAACGTCACTTGGTTCTTGGCTACTAACCTTTCATGTTACTCTTGGTTTTGTCAGTTTGCTTGCCTGTGGGGGTTTGGGCCTGCTGACCCTGCCCACTGGAAGAGGCTGCCTGCTGTGCTGCTTTCTGCTTTAACATCGTCCAATCAAATGTATAGTCGTATTGGTGGTTCAGGGTCCTGAAAAATAAAATGCCATGTTAACCTTTCAATACTGTCCAGCTTACTCACTTCTCAAGACAGTCGACGGCATTTCTTTTCCTACTATGTAGCTCCAGTTGGCCTAGAACTCTCCAAGCTCAGATCTGTTTGCCTATTTCCAGAAGGCTAAGATTAAGGGAAAGCATCACTGGGTCCAGCTCCAAGGATCCTCTTTAGAGTATTTTGTCATAAGCATGGTAACCTCTAAGATTTTTCTTCTTGTAAATAACTTTAAGTAATTATTTACTTCTCACATGTCACAACTGAAAGGAAAACATTAGCCAATCTGGTCTGGTGAATTAAATTAAAAAAAAAATTTTCAAAAAGAAAACTGCCTTTTAAATTTTCAGTGACACAAGCCTTTAACTCCAGTGTTCAGTAAGACAGTTATCTACTGAGTTCAAGGTCAGCCTGGTCTACATAGTGAGACCCTGTCCTAAAAAACAAAATCAAAGCAGAAACTTCCATAGGGGCATACTAGAAATAGAAAAACAAAACAGAACAATAAGAACAAAAAAACCCAGAATAAGCAACTACAGTGAGTCAGGTGTCAATTACCTAGAAAGATTCATTTAGCACCTCCTTGGGGAGCATGCACACGCACACAACTGGCAGCTCTGTGAGGGAGTGGTGTTAGTATCTCAGGACATCATTTCTGGAACTAATGATAACCCTGAACTCCCAATCCTACCTCTATCTTCTAAGTGCTGGAGTCTCTGTAGCCCTCTGGCAGATTCTATATTTTAATGCCCCTTTCTTTTTCTTGGGAGAAGGAACACATAATTTCAAGACAAAGTTTCTCTGTGTAGCCCTGGCTGGCCTGGAACTCTGCCCTAAGAGCTGAGATTAAACACATGTACCACCATTCCTGGCTTTTAACACTTTATTTGGTACTGAATAGGTTTCTGTATGATTGAAATTACTGTTTAACAATTTTTAAAAAACCATTTACTTCTAAAATTATTTTGAGATTAATGTAATTACATAACTTCTCCCTTCCCTTCCTCTCTCCAAAAGTCTATATAACCCTCTTTCAAATAAACAAATAATAAATAAATAAATAAATAAATGATAAACCAGACAGGCCACGCCTTTAATCCCAGCACTTGGGAGGCAGAGACAGGTGGATCTCTGTGAGTTAGAGGCCAGCCTGGTTTAGAGTGAGTTCCAAGACAGGCACCAAAGATAAACCCTGTTTTGAAGAAAAAAGAAACCATAACCATTTTTCATGAACCGCTGTTACTCTCTTTCTCTCCCTCTTCCTCCCCCCCACATCCATGAGTACAACCTGCTCAGTATGTGTAACGTTCTGTATGTTTTCAGGGCTGACTACTTGGTATCGCATAACCACCTAGTGTACTCTTCTCTGGGGAAGACAATTTCTCCTGCTCTCAGCAATCCTTAATTTAAGCTGTCATGCTGGTGAGATTTTATGGGTGCAGCTTCTGATGTTCCGAGGTTATACAATCTCATAGCCTGTGACCATTAGCCTTAGATTAGGGATTTGTTATTCTGTATATGCAGCCACTAGGATGGGGCAAAAATTATTCCTAATTATGCATATGTAAAACACACACTGGGGGTGGGAGGAGGAGCAATTGTACACGAGCAAATACCCATGAAGGCCAGAGGTTATGTGATCCTGTGAAGCTTACAGGTAGGTGGTTATGAGCTGCCCAACGTGTGTGGTGGGAACCAAATCTGAGTTGCCTACAAGATCACTATGCTCTCCTTAAGCCATCTTTCAGCCTCTGCAGCCACTAGGGATTAACAACTGACCTGAAAAGGATGCGGAATAGCTGCCTCAGATACATGTAATCCGGAGCTTCCTCAAAGCGCAGCCCACGACAGTAATTTAAGTACATGGCAAATTCTGCAGGAAACCCCTATTGAGTCAACATTTAAAAAAGTGAAAAACAAAAACACCAAGTTAGGAAAATCAAAGGAAAATACATGTCCTGGCTAGTTTCTTTTAACTTGAGAAAATGCCCCCAGCAGATTGAATCATTTTCTTGATTTAACGATTGCTGTAGGAGTGCCCTTTCTCACTGGGGAGTAAGCCATTGAGCAGCAGCCCTCCACTGGCTGCTTTAGCTCCTTAGTCCAGGTTCCAGACTTAAACTCCCGCTGACTTCCCTTAGAGATGAGTACGGCCTGAGAGTTCTAAAATGAAACAAAAGCCTTCTCCCCAAGCTGCTTTTGGTCACAGTGCTTGTTACATAACAGCAATAGAAACCCTATGACAATAGTGAAAGAAACCACCTTTTTCTATAGCACAATTCAGAATTTTTTTTCTGCAGGTAATAACAAAAACAACTGATTTTTTTGTCTAAGAAAATTACTAGGGTAATTTTTCCCCTACGCTGAGATCGGATGTCTGTTAATGTAGGATTTGCTTCTTTTGCCAGGCGGTGGTGCACACCTTTAATCCCAGCACTTGGGAGGCAGAGGCAGGTGGATCTGAATTCAAGGCCAGCCTGGTCTACAGACTGAATTCTAGAACTGGCTCCATCACTACTGAGAAACCCTGCTTTTTTTTATTTTATTAAAGTGATTACTTTTTACTTTATGTGTGCACTACATATGTGTATGGATACATGTGCTATAGCATGCATGTGGAACAGAACTTGTGGGAGTTGGTTTTTTCCACCACTTATCTCAAATATCAAACTGAGGCTATCGGGCTTGATGGCAGGTATCTTCTCACTGTGCCATTCCACTGAACTTTATACGAATTATTTTTAAGACTTATTTATATATGCACACTGTACCTGCTTCATATGTGTTTGGTGCCCAAAGAGGATAAAAGCAAGAAAAGTCTGGAGCCTGAGTTACTAGTGATTATAAACCACTCAATGTGGATGCTGGCAACTTAACTTGTACCTCCTGTAAGAGCAGCAAATACTACTTTTGTTTTTTTGAGACAGGATCTCTCTACACAGCCCTGAACTCCTGACTCTTGAGTCTGGAATGCTGGGATAAAGGCACAACTATGACACCACACCTAGCATGGCACATGCCTTTGAGCATGGCGGGGTGTCTCTCCAGTTTTTATTTACTGAGACAAGTCTTACTATTCAAACTCTGGCTGTCTAGACAGATCAGACTGGCTCTGCCTCCCAAGTGCTGTGATTAAAGGTGTGTACCCCCACACCTGACCGTGTGAATTATTTTTGAATATTCATTATGTACACTTACCTTACACAAAACTTCAACAGGAGTGGACATCTTCTTTTCACTAATCTTTTCATATTTCTGTTTCTTTGTTGCAGCCTGTAAAAGGTAGTTCACAGACAGATTTAATCTTAAAGAAATGCAGTTGAACTCACTAGACAGAATATATAGATTCAGCATGTGAGAGCCAAGAAAAGAACACATGGAATCAAGTCCATAACGGATAAAGTTACTCACTAAAGAACTGAGCACTGCACTATTTTCCTTTAAAGGTTTAAAATAGCCATTAAAAATTCTACATTTATTCTACACACTCTCAAAAGCACACTTCAACATCACAAGCCCTATGCTTATGATGCTTTTATCTAGATTAAGGCAGGCTGTCACCAATTAGTACCAGCACAAGAACACTAGCCTTCAGGTTTAACAATTGCTCTTAACTAATTTCTTACTGAAATGGTTAATTTATTCCCCCAAATTAGAGGCAACAGCAAATTAACTTTGGCTGAAACTCAGATCTGGAAAACACTTTAAAGGACACTTCCACAGTATTTACTTTCTTTTTACTCTCCCCTTTCAACGGTCCTTCCCCTGAGATGGAAGGGTTGGTTCTTTACTTATGAATGCCGTCTAAGGTTGCTCTTAATCTTCTGGGCCCAATACCACTCCCCAAGTTCTGGGATCACCTGTCTCATATTTTTCCTTCAGAAAAGATACACAAAAACAATCCCCAGTAATTTGAGTCTGATTTACCTTTAGCCCTTGCCAGGGCAGACTGGTTCTATTAAAATACATCAAAACATATCCTAAAGATTCCATGTCATCTCGGCGACTAGAAAAGAGAATGTTATTTTATGAACCAGATAGTGAAAAATATAAAAACTAAGTTCTGTACATATAAGAAACAATGTTCACAAATGACAATAAAGACTACTGAGTGTCTTACAAAATTAGGTAATTAGAGTATTAAAATCCAAAATGGACTGGTTAATTACACAAGGTTGTCAGAGAATTTAAAGAACAAAAATATAGCTAGCTAACTCTCTAAAAGCTAATGACTAATGAAAAACAAGTAGTATGAGATATCTTAAAGTTTAACTCCTAAAGATCTTCTACAGATGCTGAAACAAAAAAAAGCTAAGCTCACAGGTGTATACACACTTAATGCACATGCGCCAAGAGAAATAAATCCAGTGACAGGAAATACCCTTTCCTGGGCTATTTGGATAGGTAATATTTTAAGATCCACAAAGTGAATGTAATCAATCCCTGTACATCTCAGAGTATTCAGAAATTTACTACTTCTCTTCCCACATTTCAACCCAAAGACAGCACTTTTTGCGTTGTTTCTGTTAGTGAGGAAACACTAACCAAAAATTAAAAGGAACTCAAAAACACCACCACCACAAAACAAAAACAGGAAGACAGATCATGGTCTACCAATCACATTTTTGGTTTATTACAAATTTTTATTTGTCCTGAGATTGACTTCAAACTTAGACCTAATCCTGTCAGACTACCAAAGCGCTGGGATTACAGGCATGAGCCACAAAGCTCAGTACTGTTACAGTACTTTCCTTGTGAAAGTGACCCATGGATCATCCCCACCCCTTGGAACTCAAGTTATTGGAATACGGTAGAAGAATGGAGTCATGTAAGGAGAATTCAAGTGTTTTTAAGTAAACAGGAGTACTGCAATCTCAGTTTTCTTCAAAGACATGGAACTGTTCTTGGAATGCACTTTTGTCATCCCTCCCCACCCCTCCTGGGTAGGGGACAGGAGTTTATTCAGATTATTCATCACAACTGGCTATTGTTTGTTTATATGCCTCCATGGAAAAACATTTTTGCCATGTGCCGCTTGTGCGGTTTGTGTCGCTGTGACTGGATACTTATGTGACTTATCTTAAACCTCAGAGTATCAATTGTCCGATGCCTCTGTATAAAGCTAGCTACTGCATGAAAATTTAGTCTACCCCATTTTTAGGCTCCATTCTCCCAGGTTCACACTGCCAACTCCAGTGATAAGCACAAATCATAACACTAAAATACACAACGCTGAAGATCAGTACTTAAAAAAGTAGGTATATGTGAAACCGCAGATGTCAATACTAATTATGTTTCCAACTTCCATGTTTAACAGGCTTTTGTTTTTTCATTTTTTTTTTTTAGATAAGGTCTCACAATGTGGACCCTGCTTAGCTAGTACCCGTCATATAATCAAGAATGGCCTTGAATTCTTTTTTTTAATATTGTTATATTTATATATTATTATTTATTTATTCATGATTCTTTAAGGCAAACACCCACTTGTTTGTCCTGGCCTTGAATTCTTAACAGTCATCCTGCTTCAGTCTCCTACAGTTAAGACGGCAGGCATGTGTCACCATACTAGACATTTAACTCTCTAGCCCAGAGACAACTTTCAAGAAAGAAAATAAAAGGTGCCATTAATTTAGCTGGCTTTTCTGCACTAGTTAAAAGCAAAAGGTACAACAATAAGCAATTTCTTAATCCTCAGCCAAGAAGCATCCTTAAGACACTGAAAAACTTTAATACAAACTTAAGAAAAGCCATCAACTGCTTGTTCCCACGATGGATTTGATAGACTCACCTCTGTTCAATACCCAGATGTGCATTGATGCTAGCGTATCGGGCAGTGCCAGTCAGATTTTTATCTTCTCTGTATGGTATGTGTTGCCTTGTCCTGTTGTCTCTGTACTTTTTGGCCAAACCAAAATCAATAAGGAATAACTTTAAAAGAAAAACAAAGAGAAATTAGGCCTCTAGCCTTTTTTTTATTAAACAAGTATATCCAAATATCAAAATGAAATATAAAATGAACAGATAATAGATTTAACAGCCCAGTAAGACTTTACTATTCTTCACAAGTAACCCCCAACCATTATCCTTATTTATGTAACTTGACGTGCCCAGTTCTTATACACATAGCAGCCTGTCTTCACACAGTGAGTATGTGTGTGTGTATATATGCGTACACACACATGTCCCAAGGCAGAGTTGTCAAGAACGTTGTTTAACCACATGAAATTTGAAAGCCCGTTTTTAATGGGTAAAAAAAAAAGCATGTTCCAAAATTTTTATGTACAAGCTTTCTGGACTCTTTTCTCTCAGAGGTCACTCTTCAGTATGCTAATAAAAGGCTATTTATTTAAAGGACATAATCCTCGAAGTCTGATAAAAATAAACCATTTTTAAGATAATAAAAAACAAGAGCACGCACTACATTGTTTCGTAAGATATCTAAAAAGTATAGTATGTTCACCCGAATAAAAGTACAGCATTTAAATTAAAGTGGCTTTCAAATCATCTGTTTAAACGAGTTAACCCAAAGCCACAGTCGCATTTTAGGAGAAAATGTTTACTTGTATATAATCTATATGGTAGCCAGGGAGGAAAAACAGCACATTTTTTTCTAAGTAATTCAAATTTGATCTACAAAACTGAATTTTTAAAAAGGAAAACTTATTTTTTGATGAAAGGCAACAAAATTCATTCTTTTACCAATGTATCTGAAACTAACTTTTATACAAAAAAACCCTACTTGCCATAATATACTAAAATCCTATCATCATTATCAAGCTTGACATATCTGTGTGCAATGAGACTACTGTGTCTCTTCTAATTACACCCACATTTTATTATTTTTGTTAAACCATTATATTGGTCTCTTTCACCAATACAGAATCTGATGTTTTAGAAAACTGCTATGGTAATCTTTTAAAATTCATGTTACAAGTAAACAAATCATCTATTCATGTTAAGATCAGTGAGGCCTGGTGGCACATGCCTTTAATCCCAGCATTTGGAAGACAAAGGCAGGCAGATCTCTTCTTTCAAGGCCAGCCTGGTCTACAAGGAAGGTTCCAGGCTAGCCAGGGATACATTAAAAAAAAAAAAAAAAGCCTGTTTCAACAAACAAAAACCCTGCTTCTGCCAGCTATTATGCCTATACTTTCATCTGGTTTACTATAAAAACCAAATTACTAGTGATAATATAGGTGGACAACAAAAGCCCTGTAACTCTAATATTAAACTCTCTAGCAATCAAGTTGTTTAGAAATACAGGAAAGTATTTTAATGCATTTAGCTCACACTGCACATTGCTCTTAATATGAAAACCAGTTATCAGTAAACAAGCACATAGTTCTGCAGAATAACACTGAAAACAAAAAAACAACAGAGAATATTAAGTGTGAAGGCACTGAAAACAATTCCTAGGTCATGGAATTGGATTACTCCCTTCAGTTCTTCAAAGAGAAGGGGAAGTGTGCTAATGTGGATTATATCTGGCAGCTGCTACTCAAAGCTAAATCCCCATTCACAACTCAATTAGTGGATTCTGTGTAAACAACCAAAGTTTCAAGAAGCTCAGTACTCAAAAATGAGGAAACAGTATTAAAAAACAAAACCAAAAAACCCAAGCAAAATACTAACTCCTCAAATGCTCCAATCTTTAAACAAACTACAGAAAGAAAAAGAACCAAACAAGGAAAGTCAGTGCCAGTTAAGCAGAAGGGTTGCATCTGCAGAGACTCGGGCAATTTTCATGACTGGGACAAACTACCTTTCTGAGAACTTGCATTAATTATTTGCAACCTAACTAGCTCGTATAATATAAACAGAATAGTAAAGCATTTTAGATTATCAAGCTGTTATGCTACAAAATGTAAGCAAAATATACAGATGAATGGGTAAAACTGAGGCTATTAAGTTTTTAAAGTTTCTTCCTCTAACGACCAATTTAACTTATGCACTCTTACTCCACCAAGATTTAGCCATAGCAGTAAGCTCTGTTTGGAATTATTTTTAGAGAAGGTCTCAGTATGCCTGGGTTACCTGGAACTCCCTGTGTAACTAGTCCTGGCCTTGAATTTGCTGTGATCCTCCTCCTCCTACCAAATTACAGACATATGCCACCACACTCAGTCCAATGGTTGGCATTTCTTTTCTGGGATAAAGTAACTCTTGAGTACTTGAAAACCTTTGTGCAGGAGGAGCTTGCCCCCTGGAGAGTACTGAAAACAACAAAATGCAAAACCAAAGCAGAGGCAGTGCAGAAAATAAATGAAAGGTAATTTAGGCGATTAAGCCAGATTGCTTATTTCTTCAATTTTGGTTATTTATGCCAATATTGTCTTCTCAAGGTACGTGGTATCAAATTATAGACTTGTGGGTTCCAGAAGCACCAAAATTCCCATCCTAAAGTAAATGTTCCTTTGTCTATAAAAACTCATTGGATCAAGCTTGATGGCATACACCTTTAATTGGAGGCAGAGGTAGGATGACTCTGAGTTTGAGAGCAACCTGATCTACTTATCAAGTTTCAGGCCAACGTAGGGCTAGAGACCAGGCCTCAAAATAAAACCAAAAACAAATTCACATGGAGGGCACAGCTACAATTTCTAGAAAAGTAAAAGAAAATGTGATTAAATTACTGGGTGGTTTAGCCTGCCCAAATCTAAATCGGGTTATACATTCAGGTAGTTTGTTTTTTCCTTCAACTCTCACTATTCTGTTATAAATACACTGTCTTCTAGTCTAGAGTGTATAATCCTCTTTAAGCAACCACTGAGAAATCCTAGATGTGAACTCTGACTTCTACTTACCTGAGGCTCTTAAGGAAGGAGAGAAAAGTACAGCAGAGCAGTCAATATAGCACATGAGACTTAACTGTGGAGTAAGCTCTCCAACTCCAAACACATTTTTAAAGCTAGTCTATCTCGTCTATTTTTAAAGTAAAGGTTCCAATACTAAACTAACAGCATTTCCTCATATCAATGCTGTCAATCTAAAACAAAGACAATCTTATTTTCATTTAAGTTTTCTCTAAGCTTTTTAAAGTTTTAAGCAAAAGCCACAAAAATATCTTAGTAATGTTACATGTTTGCCAAGTATGTCTGAATAATGCCAACGTAAGAGGTGCTTGAGCAAGATCTATATTTTCCAGAATTAAATAAAAGTAATTCAAACGAAACAATAAGAAAGAAAAGCACATGACTTTGGGGTTGAGGTTGGAATAGGAGACAGTTTCAGACCTGGTTTAATCCTGAGAAAGATGGGTCCTGAGAAGGACTAACAGTCATGCTTCTTTTCCTCTTCCCCACTGGAGATTCTAAACACTGAACAGACAATAGAGGTGGCAGTGCATCAAACAGTATTGCGTACATTGCAACAATGGCCGGCGCAGACAGGCAACACCGAGGCATTAGAGAAAGAACAGGGTAGCCAAATGCCATCCTTCTTCCACCAAGCACTGTAGCTTCTCAGTTTCCAAATAAAAATCATGAGCTCAACAACATGAATTCTAGAATACTTATGTTTTTAATGCCACTAGGACTGTGTCACTGCCTGAAACAGGGAGAGCAATGGTGACATTTGGCGTTTTCATTTTTAAATAAAAAATGGGGAATTTGGATCTGCAATCTTTATCACATTCTGCCCTTCCCCCAAAAAAGAATGAATGGGGGAAAAATCTTCAGTAAGGAAGAGGTAGAAGGCATTTAGTCACCTTAAAATTTATTTTTAAAAGCATGCAGGGCCGATTACTGGACGAGATGAGCAAATTCACTAAGATTGGAGTGGCTACTCCTAAATATCAAATTCAGAACAATTTTCAAGTAAGAAATTTTAACTTCAAAAGCCAAACTCGGAAGCTGCTCCCACCCCATCAAACCTGATCCCCCGTGGGTATAAACTACTGGTACAAGCTGACTGAAGGAACCAGTCTTACACAATGGGCAATTTCAAACTACAGTACAGAAAACACCAAAAACAAAAACAAAAAAAAAAACAAAACCAAAAACAAACAAACAAAAAGCTACAGAAACAAAACACTAAAGTGTTCAAGAGAAACATTTACATTTGAATCTTATATAAAAGACTACACTTCTCTCCAATAATCTCTCTGAAAACAGCTCCAGATAAGCAGTGCCACAAAAATCATTTGACTAACTGTACGGAGTACACAGATTCTAAAAAAGGAACATGGAATCCAAGACATGTATGTGATTAAGACAACTATTCATAAGGGGGGAGAGGAAGAGCGTGAAGTGTTACTACCTAGGCCACTGTTTAAAGTGAAGGCAAAAACCATGTACTTACTGCTCTGTCACTATGCAGGACAGGGACCACATAGGGGTAATGGGTGTTTAGGGTAAGAAAACAGGAAGGAGAGGGCCGGGAAATGGCTAAAAGAAGAGTCAAACTGCCAAAACTGTAGGAGAAAAATATAAGGCCAAATTTTTCTTCTAACCCATTACCAGGTTTTAGAATTTATAACTAAGAACCTGGCTGCTTCAAAGAGAGAAGCCACATTTCTTTAAATGAAATCTGGGAATGCAAGACAAATTACATGGCTGTAAACCCTTCAATATATTGAAGTTCAGTGAAAAATCTAATCTAAAACTTGGTCAGACCAACATTAACAAGCAACACCAGTTCTAATATAATGGCTCCAAGTTGGCATTCATACAGGCAAACAAAGGTAAACATTTACAGCTGGACCTAAAACACCACATTCCCTAACTGGTTAACAAATGGGAAGTTTCCTTCCAAAAAAACCACAAAAGAACAAAAAGAAAAAGAAAAGAAAAACAAAAACAAAAAAAGCCCCCTCCCTCCCCACAGTTGTCCTGAAGTTGAGAATTTCTGAGATCATCCGATTGGAACATGCTTCGTGCATTGCCAATGCTGCCTGTCTGCCCGAGCTCAACATTGAATGAATAAAGAAAGCAATTCACTCAATAAAACTAAGCATTGCAGACAAAAGTTCAATATCATTAGTTTCTAACTGCAATCATGCGTCACTACAACCTAATCACCCCGTATACAGAACCCATTGTCAGAAATCCCCAATAAGCACTCATTTAGCTATATGAATATTCAATCACTCGTCACTATTTTCCTGTAACAGCATGGAGGGTGGAGAACTCACCCAACTGGGAACCCAATTAATAAAGTGTAAGCTACTTTTGAAGCAGGCTCAAAAGTTATTCTTTTAAATACTCCAATCCAAGGACTAAAGAATTCTCAGTATCAACCATGCTCAGCCAGCAAGGATTAACGCCATAGTGACAGATGGGTCAATGGTTGCCATACTGGCACAAGCACGTATATTACAAACCCACACTACTTTATAAAGTCTATAAAGTTAGAATCTGATTTATACCACTCAAGAAGGATTAAAGGTAAACGTTTTCACTATTTAAGTGAATGAAAACTAGATACAATTGTCCAAGTTAAGTACAGATGATTAAAGCCCTTGGAATTTCATATTTTCACATAAATAAGCTAACCTCAGTGGGCTAAGTTGGAGAGACTATATATATTTCAAGTCACTAAGTTAATAGAGTTAGCTGATTATCCTTCTAGCACAATCTCTTAAGCAGATTACAGCAAATACAATTACTATGGCTTTTTAAAGATTCAAAAATTTATCAAAGTAATTCATATCAATATTTTACTCTTTGTTCTTTCATGCCAAGAGCAGTTAACTAACCTTATTACAGTGACGCCCAATACCCATTAGGAAGTTATCTGGTTTAATGTCTCTGTGTATAAAATTCTTTGTGTGCACATATTCAATCCTACTGATCATCTGAAAAAGAAAAGGGATAAAAACAGTTAAGTGACAAAAGCAGCAACTCAATTTCTCAAGTACTCCAGTCTTTCAATTAATGACAGCACTAGAAAAACAAAAAGAACAAAGCCCCTTATTTCAAGCATGCTGGCTACCAAGGCCTAAACTTTTGTGGTGTTTGACTTGTTCTGTTAGTTTGTAATGATTTTAAACGGGCTGCTGAATGTGGTGATACTCACCTTTAAAAGCCCAGCACTCAGGAGGCAAAGGCAAGTGGATCTCTATGGGTTCAAGACCAGCCTGTTCTACATAGTAAAAAAGAATAATTGCTATATTGCAAGAAAGCCTTATAGTCCTTAGCAATTTTTTGCTAATGATACCACAGAACCTCGACTAGATATTTTCTTTCTCTTTTTGACTTTCAGTTCCTAGAAAGGACTATTCTACTCTATTTTTCTCAGTGGTAAACCTAGGGAATTTGAAGCCAGGTTGGGCCACAAAACAAGGCAAACTTAGGCATTTCTAAAATGCCCTAGTGCTGCTTCAATGCTATTATTCATGCTTCAGACTTTTATTACTTCAAGCATTAGTTTGGCTAAAGCTTCATCTTTAGTTACTCTGGTACTTTATTTTAAAAAAACAAATAAAAAATTAAGCTCTTTGTTCATCTGAGTAGGATCTTATATAATACCCAGGATGGCCCTGAATCCAAAACCCCTCTTCAGTCTCCTGAATGCTGGGACTCTAAGAGTCTGTGCTACCACGTACAGTAAAAATACAGAATGCTGCAAGTAATAGTCTATTGCCTGAGGAACACATTTCTAAAGCACACCTGAACAAATATCCTACACTACTGTAAGACAACAAACAATCCTTTTATAATTTTTTTAAGAGAAATAGTGACACATGGGCTTACAACAATGTGGTCTGTGAAATGCTGACCATTATACAAATAACTTTGCAGTTTTTTTATTTCTGTCAAAGTTCACACACCTGGTCAGCTAACATAAGTACAGTCTTCATAGTGAACCTTCTTGAACAGAAATTGAAGAGATCTTCAAGGCTGGGCCCCAGAAGATCCATGACTAGCACGTTATAGTCTTTTTCTTGTCCATACCACCTAATAAAAACAAGAAATGGGAGAGTCAATGCAAAAACATTATCACTTAATACTTCTAAGATTACAACGTATTCCTTAGGCATGGAAGCACACACCTATAATTTCAGAGCTTGGGACATTAAGAGTTGCTAAATTTTAAGTCATAGTTAGCTAGGGAGATTCTGGCTCCAACAAGGAAATTTACATTTTTTAAAAAGGGAACCTTTGCACTATTTACAAGACAAATCCAGTGGTTAAATATACTGCTCAAGAGTAACAAGACCCTTTCCCTCCCACACGGCCACTTCCTAACTACTCTCACCATCATAGCAATTTTAAGCCATCTGCATCATGTCCTGACCTTGGACTAACTTTGTAATGGAAGAACTGACTCCACCAGCTGTACCACACCTCAGAAAGGCCTCTTGTCATGTCATTACCTCCCAACTCCCTCCACATCAAACTCCCCTTCAATTATTTGTCCTTCTTTGAAAAGGAATCACGTTTTGCTTAGTTTAGTTCTTCAAAAATAGCATAGACACACGATTCTATTTATCTGTTAGAGAAAAATTACTTTAACTATGTTATACTGTACATATATAAAAATTTTCCTCAATAACTCAAAATATTAACTTTTCTTGTGAGGACTAGAAATAATCACCATAAATTTTTTCACATTTTGATGTCTATAAAATTCTTCCCAAACAATATGAGGCCAACCTGGTTATATACAGCAAGTCTGTTTCCAGAACAACTAAAACTGGAGTAAATTACTTAAAAGCCTAAACTGGCTTAGTTTCTTTGTTAACACCAATAGAAGCTAAAGCCAAGAAGTTACCATATTTGGAAATATGTATTAAAAAAACTCAAAAGGAGGGAAGAGGCTTTTTTTTTTTTTTTAAATCTGTGTTAAAGGTAAAACATCAGAATGTTGGCCAAGCCTATAACCTTAGTGTTCAGGAGCCTGAGGCAAAGCTTAAGGTCAGCCTAAACTATAGGGTGAGTTGAGAGCCAGTCTCAAAAGACCAAATCTCTAGGAAACTACTTAAGTGTTTTAATGCTATTTCTTCTCTACAATTTTGCTCTATTATGTTGTTTTACTGATAAATAGCTTTTTTTTTTTTTTTTTTGGTTTTTCAAGACAGGGTTTCTCTGTGGCTTCGGAGCCTGTCCTGAAACTAGCTCTTTTTTTAAAAAAATATTTATTTATTGTGGATACAATATTCTGTTTGCATATATGCCCGCAGGCTAGAAGAGGACACCAGATCTCTTTACAGATGGTTGTGAGCCACCATGTGGTTGCTGGGAATCGAACTCGGGTCCTTTAGAAGAGCACGCAATGCTCTTAATGGCTGAGCCATCTCTCCAGCCCCCTGAAACTAGCTCTTGTAGACCAGGCTGGCCTCGAGCTCAGAGATCCACCTACCTCTGCCTCCCAAGTGCTGGGATTAAAGAAAGGCATGCACTACCACTGCCCAGCAATAGCATTGGTTTTAAAACATCAGTATTAACAAAAGAACATGAACATTTTCCTAGAAAATATAGTTTACTATATATATATATTTGTCCTGTTTTGGAGATAAGGTTTCTCTTTGTAGCCCTGGCTGTCCTTGAAGATCCACCTTCTGACTGAGATTAAAGGTGTGCACTACAGCTGTCCAGCTGGAATCTTTTCTTTCCTTTTTTTAAAAAAAGTTGCTTAACTAGTGGTCCAGATACTCAATGCTATTATCCCTTTAATGCCATCCATCAGAACTGCAGGAGATTCCAAAAGTGACATTCAAGAGAAATATAGATAAAACCTCAAATCGGCTGGCTCTAACTTCTGACCTTTACTAACAAGAGTCCACATTCAGGTACCTTAGTTAATCTAAGTAAGAGAGCATTAAACATATAGTATACACTTGTATGAAAATGAGATCCAGCAGTGGCAGTTCTGTTAAGGGGCTAATTATTCCTGTCTAGATTTGAAGTTAACTCCACAGTAAAGAATTCACATCTGGTACTGTAAGCTTGGGTAAAAGTCTGTGGCTTGGGAAGGCACGGGCCCTACCTAGTGGGGAAGCTTCCACGTATATTGCTAACTGGAGACTCTGTGCCTATCTAATGCCTTCTAAATATTTTTGTTTATGTCCACTCACCAGCGCTGCTGTCAGCTGTGGTTAGAGGATTCTTTAGGCAGTAGATTATGTGCTTACTATAGAAACTTCTAACAGTCAAAGCACTGAGATAACAGAACTGTTGAAAGGCAAGCCTTAACTGGGATTTCTATATCCTGCTCTGCAAGGCTTGGGGAGCATTCCAAAAGAATGGAGGAAAGGGTAGAAGGGCAGAGTGCTGTGAAACATTTTCTTCTGGGCGTAATGTGTCTATTGTACCCTCAAATTCTCATTAGTTGTGACTATCAGCATAAAGTCTGTACACCACTCAAGCTACTGCAGTTATTAATCTGACGTTTATAGTCGCTAACAAGACAATCAAGTAATATCTTCTTTCATGATCATCTGTTTACTATGCAACAAGAATGCCAAATAAGAAACACATGTTTAAGAAAGCAAACATTTCAAGGATCCAAACTTTAGAAATAAGGTGATCATTAAAGCATAGTTAGAGAGTCTGGTGAAAGGACGAAAGATTACAATAAACTAAGTAACCAGTGTGGTTGGTATACACACTGCTACCTCATTTTCTTCACAGGTTAATTCACTGAAAACCCATTTTATACCGGCTACTTTTCCCATTTTTGTTTCTTGGCTGGAATAATAGATTCTAACCATACTATTTAGTTTGTCGTTTGTCAAAAATGACAATGACTGAATTTTTTTTGCCAGTTTTTGTCATTACTTTAAATATTGCTAAGTGCTACTATGGGACAGAATGTAGACAACTGAACATCAAGAAAATTCAAGCAAGTATTCAAAACAAAGCAAAAAAAATACACATCTTCATTGGGAAGTGGAAAATCTAGCAATCCTCTGCACACCAATCAAAAGTGATTAATAATCACTTTCTTGGTGCTGTAGGTCAAACCCTGGGACTCCCAGAAGCCAAGCAAACACCCTACCTTGCATAATACTGAATTCTGATCCCCTGAAAGAGCAACATGTACTCTTGAGCTATCTCTCCAGTCCACGTGGTAAAGATCTGAGGAAAGGCTTACTTACTTCACTAGATTCAAACAACTTTAACAGGGTTTATCCTTGAATCTGACTGTGCTAGCTAGTGTTTTTTGTTGTTTTTGTTTATTTTACACAAGCTAGAGTCATAAGGAAAAAGGAACCTCACTTGTAAAATGTCCCCACTAGACTGGCTTGTGGGCAAGCCTGGGGCACAGTTTCTTAATGTAAGAAGGCCCAGTACAACCCAGCTGGTGGTCCTAGCTACAATAAAGCAGCCTGAGCAAGACAGCATTCCTCAACGGTCTCTGCATCAGATTCTGCCTCTAAGTTCCTACACTGACTTCCCTCAACTGTGCTATGGAACTGTAAATAAAATAAACCCCTTCCTCCCCAAAGGGTTTACTGGTCGCGGCGCTTTGTAATAGAAATAGAAATAGAAACCCCTAACTTATTAGATGAAAGTAGCTGAGGGCTTTTCTGGTAGTCTTACACATTATCCTCTTACTTTGTGCCCTTATGTTCAATTTCAGTTTGAGATCTAGACACTGTTCTCTTTGTTTTCAGAGGAAGACAAACTTACTGGTACCACTTGCCTGGCTCGTGACACAAGTTCAAAAAAAAAAAAACCCACAAATTTTGAAGTGTGCCTATTTTAAACTTCGTACACAGTAAGCACTCATACAGGAAAAAGCCTTTTATTATCTATAATTTATTATAAATTAGTGATGTAAGTACGCTTATAAGTTCAAGTGTGTTACGTTAACCAAGACAGTTTCAGTCACTAGAGATTGAATAGCAGTTAATAGTCATTTAACTGGAACACTGATTTCACTAAGTGGAACTTGGTGTCAGGAACAATTTAAATCCAGTGTCAACAGATCCCACACAAACAATCCAATCAATTAAATACTAAAAGGCATAAAAAGAACAGAAAAGAGAAGACTGGCATGGTAGCACACACCTTTAATTCCAGAACTAGGAAAGTTCTGTGAGTTCAATACCCTATACTACATGATCCTTGTTCTCAGTGAATGTGAAGAACATAAAATGGAGAGACATTCATATAAAAGCATGCACCCCACTCCAGGTTCTTCCAACATTTTTACCAAGCACAATGTATGAGACACTTGTAATATAACTACTCAAGTTTTTCAATTTCAGATAAGAGCTGACAAGACACCATCTTAGAAGTTCTCCTGTAAACGTTTTTCTTCTACATTTAAATACAACACAAACATGGGGCTAATTTATACTACCTCTACTTCATCCACTGTCGACATTTTCTTAAAGAAAAAAAAACAGGTAGCGATGGCGCACACCTTTAATCTCAGCACTCGGGAAGCAGAGGCAGGTGGATTTCTGTGAGTTTGAGACCAGTGTGGGCCCCGTCTCCAAAAACAAAAATAAAAGCATGCACTACACTAATACTGAAAGCAGCAAACACTCTTCGTGTTAGCCTAGAAAATTAAAATGCCCAACATAGTAGTAAAACCTTGGGATTAAGTTAAAGAACCTATAAGTTTTAAAGAAAAGGTCTCACTACATATGGCCTGGAGTTCTGGTATTACATGTGCGTGCCACCACACCTGGCTCTAGAAAACTAAATTTCAGTGAGACAATGGATTCTTTCTAACTGTATTCAAAGCAAAAAGAGCACAGCTACATTTTACTTTGTAAATAAATCAGCAATTAGCTTTCGTCCTGTCTTAGTCTAATACATATTGGAACCGAAGACCATTAAGAAACTCAAGAACTTAACTCTATACACAAATACTTCTAAGATTTATTTCTACAGCTGGATTAAAAAGTTAACACATACAATGAAGGCAGAGTAAGTACCTTTATAGTCACAAACCATGCTAAGAACCTATTAAGACCTAGTTCTTTCCCTCACAGCACTGT